GACATTGGGCACCCTGCGAAGCCTGAAGGCAACAGCAACAGCAGCAAGGGCTGCAAGACATCAAAAATGGTGGCTTGCCTCTCCCTGTGGGAGCCCCATCTCAGGGAAGTATAAAGCTACTATCAGACTGAGAGCCATGGTGGGATGTGAATGGAGTACTGGGTCAGCGGGCCTTATCCTGGGAGGTACAGTAGCAGTGAGACCTGAAGTCCATCACTGCTCAGCCACCTGAATTTGGCCCCTTTCCTGAGGGTATACAAGGGATCCTGACCTCTTCTGATAGCAAAGCTACAGCTTCTAATCCCATGATGCCCAGGAATCCAAGCCTCCTAGGACTCTACATATGCGTGAATGGCAGTTCTGCCCAGACTCCACATAACTCTGCATGATGATCTGAAGGCCCCAGCAGGGTGGCCCCATGAGGTGATCTTCTCAGCCTCAGGTTGCAAAGGTCTGTGGAAGAAGTATGAGTTCCTGAGTACTCTCCTTCACTCAACATTTCCCTACAGTAGGGAAGCCTCCTCTGGTTCTGTGTCACTTACAAGTGGGCAGTCATCCTGTCTCGCTCCTCCACATTCACATTCTCCGTGGGCCAAGTTGCTTCCCTGAGGAATCTCAATGGGTCAACCTGGATGTTTCCATTGAAAATCTAATATTCACTCTCTACATTTTCTTCTCTCTGTAAGAGCAGGGCCCACTAGCTGCTTCTAGTCAACCACCTTGACCCTCCCTCTTTCTGTTATCCTATTTTAATCATATTTTTAAATATTACTATAGTATCAAGTATTTTACAGCTTTAATATTTGACATACTTCCCAAAATTGTATTTCAAATTCTAAAATTATGATTAAATAATTTTAGATCTTCTCAGGGTCCTTTGTATACCCTCAGGAAAGGGGCCAAATTCAGGTGGCTGAGCAGTGATGGACTTCAGGTCTCACTGCTACTGTACCTCCCAGGATAAGGCCCACTGACCCAGTACTCCAGCCACATCCCACCATGGCTCTCAGTCTGATAGTAGCTTTATACTTCCCTGAGATGGGGCTCCCACAGGGAGAGGCAAGCCACCATTTTTGATGTCTTGCAGCCCTTGCTGCTGTTGCTGTTGCCTTCAGGCTTCGCAGGGTGCCCAATGTCTACAGACTGCTGTGGATCCCCAGCATAATGCAGCTGCCTCATGGAAAAAGTGGTCAGACAGTGGTCAGATTAAAAATCCTATTTTAATCATGTTTTTAAATATTACTATAGTATCAAGTATTTTACAGCTTTAATATTTGACATACTTCCCAAAATTGTATTTCAAATTCTAAAATTAAATCTTTTTAATCTAAACTAACTCATAGATAAAAAATACAAATCTCTGGAACTCCAAGTGTTACTGCTGGAGGGTCTTGACTATGAGTTTAGGTTCTTGGCATTTTTGAATAAATAATTAGACAAAACCTACAACAAAGCAATTAAAAAATGAAGCAATAAAAGCACAGATTTATTGAAATGAAAGTAGACTCCAGAGCAGGAGTGGGCTTGAGCAGTTGGCTCCAGAGCAGGAGTGGGCTTGAGCAGTTGGCTCAAGAGCACTGGTTAAAGAATGATCTGGGGTTTAAATACTCTGTAGAGGATTCCCACTGGTTACTTGGTTTATACCCTCTGTAAATGCAGGAGTGGTTCATGACCAATCTGATTTGTCACCAAATCAGGCTGAAATGAGGTTACAAAGTTACACCCCCCATCAAAATGAAGACTTGGTCTATGGTCAGTCTGATTGGTTGTGGGATAGGACCAATTAGAGGTACTTTCTATTTCTCATCTGTTAAATAGAAAGCAAGGGTGGAGGGGTTGCAGAGGGAGTAGCCTCTGTTCTTCTGCTACTTGGGATGGAAAGTTGGAGTTTTCCTTTTGATTTACTTCTAGGAAGACAGTGTGAATCAGCCTTACATTCCCTGCCTCCAGATTCTCTTCTGCATCACTAGAGAGACATATAGGCTTATTCAGTGTGTAAAAATCATATGGGAAACATTGTCCGGTAAGAATAGTGTTTAACTTTCTTCACATTATATTTTTATAAGAATGTTATTAATGTGACTTCCAAAATCTAATGAGAGTCCTAAACTTATGGTGTGCTCTGGTATATGTCATCAGTCATAATTATGATAATTATGTTAAACTGTTGTATGACACACACACACACACACACACACACACACACACATACACACACACAAAACAAATTTTCTTGCCAACTGCTTCTTTAACCATGATTATTCTAAGCATTTTTGGCATCCACAGTTAATTATTATTTTACTTTGAATCTTCTCAGAAAATAATTTATAATCAGCTACTGTACAAAATTTGCTACTTCTTAAAAAAACTTCATAGAAATGACCCTGACATTTCCTCTTGAATACAGGTTACTAATAGCTTTGGAGATAATACCATTGGACTAGGCAAAAACATAAAGAATTTTTTAAAAACTGATACTTTTGTAAACATTGCTAAGCTAACATTAAGCAGATCAAGATTTAATGAGATGGTACTAAAAGGTTGGAGGACAAAAATAATTTGTATGGCTTTTTGTTTGAAACATTGCTGATCCTTTTTGTTTCCCAGAATAAAAGTAACATTTTTCCTAAGGTTTTTTTTTTTTTTTTTTTTTTTTTTTTTTTTTTGCAACTGTCGTAAAAGTATTGAGTTCTTGATTTGATTCTCTGCTTGGTTGCTGCTGCTGTATAAAAAAGCTACTGATTTGTGTACATTAATCTTGTCTCTGGAAACTTTGCTGAATTATTTCATTAGTTCTAGGAGCTTTCTGAAGGAGTCCTTATGGCTTTCTAGGTACACAATCATATTGTCAGCAAACAGTGACAGTTTGACTTCCTCTTTACTGATTTGGATGCACCTTATATCTCTCTTGTCTGATTTCTTTGACTAGGACTTCCAGTACTATGTTGAAGAGGAGTGGTGAGACTGGGCAATCTTGTCTTGTTCCAGTTCTCAGAGGGAATGCTTTCAACTTTTCCCCACTCACTATTATGTTGGCTGTGGGTTTGTCATAGATGACTTTTATTGCTTTAAGATATGTATGTCCCTTGTATGCCAATTTTGCTAGGAGTTTTAATCATAAAGGAATGCTGGATTTTGTCAAATGCTTTTTTCTCTATCTGTTGAGATGATCATGTGAATTTTGTTTGCAATCTGTTTATGTGGTATATCACATTTACTGTGTTGTGTGTGTGAAGCCATCCACACACCTTTGGTATGAAACCCACTTGATCATGGTGAATGATCTTTTTGATATGTTGTTGGATTTGGTTAGCTAGTATTTCGTTAAGGATTTTATCATCTGTGTTCATCAAGGATATAGGTCTGTAGTCCTTTTTTTTGGTTCTGTCCTTTCCTGGTTTTGGAATTAGGGTAATGCTGGCTTCATAGAATGAATTAGGAAGGGTTGCTTCTTTCTCTATCTTGTGGAATAATGTCAAAAGGATTAGTACCAATTCTTCTTTGAAAGTCTGGTAGAATATTGCTGAGAATCCATCTGGTCCTGGACTACTTTTTGTTGGTAATTTTTAAACTCCCATTTCAATCTCGCTGCTTGTTATTGGTCTGTTCAGGGAATCTATTTCTTCCCGATTTAAGTTAGAACAGTTGCATTTTTCCAGGAATTTATCCATCTCTTCTAGGTTTTCTAGCATATGTGCATAAAGGTGTTCACAGTAGCCTTAAATGGTCTTTCGTATTTTGGAGGTGTCAGTTGTACTATCTCCTGTTTTGTTTCTTAGTGAAGTTATCTGGATATTTGCTCTTATTTTCTTGATTAATCTTGTTAATGGCTTATCAATTTTATTTATCTTTTCAGAGAACAAGTTTTTTGTTTCATTTATCTTTTTTTTTTTTTTCAATTTCATTTAGTTCTGCTCTGATCTTGATTATTTCCTTTCTTCTGCTTGGTCTGGGCTTGGTTTGTTCCTGTTTCTTAGGAATATACTTAACAAAAGAGGCAAAAGACCTCTACAAGAAAAATACAAAACTGTTGAAAGAAATCATAGATGACACAAACAAATGGAAACACATCCCATGCCCATGGATGGGTAGAATCAATATTGTGAAAATGACCATACTCGCTAAAAGCAATGTAGGAATTCATTGCAATCTCCATCAAAAAACCACAATCATTCTTCACAAAGTTAGGAAAAAAAATTCTAAAATTCATATGGAACAAAAAAAGTGCCCACATAGCCAAAGCAAGACTAAGCAAAAAGAGCAAATCTGGAGGCATCACACTACCTGATTTCAAACTCTACTATAAGGTCATAGTCACTGAAATAGCATGGTACTGGCATGAAATAGGCACATAGACCAATGGAACAGAATAAATAACACAAAAATAAACCCAAATACTTAGAGCTAACTGGTCTTAGAAAAAGCAAACAAAATCGTAAAGTGGGGAAAGGATACACTTTTCAACAAATAGTGCTGGGATAATTGGCTAGTTGCATGCAGGATGTTAAAATTCAGCCCTCGTTTCTCACCTTATACAAAAATCAACTCCTGAAACTATAAAAATTCAAGAAGATAATATTGAAAACCCCTTCTAGACATTGATGTAGGCAAAGATTTCATGACCAAAAATTCCAAAACAAATGCAATAAAAACAAAGATAAATAGTTGGGGCCTAATTAAACTAAGAGCTTTTGCGTGACAAAGGGAACTGTCAGCATAGTAAACAGACAACACACAGAGTGGGAGAAAATCTTCACAACTTGTGAACATCTGAAAAAAAACAACATCCAGAATCTACAACAAACTAAAACTAATCAGTAAGAAAAAAACAAACAATCTCATCAAAAACTGGGCTAAGGATATGAATGGACAATTCTTCAAAGCACATATACAGTCTGGGGGTGGTGGCTCATGCCTGTAATCCTAGCACTTTGGGAGACCTGGGCAGGTGGATCACCTGAGGTCAGGAGTTTGAGACCATCCAGGGCAACATGTCGTGATTGTTTCAGCAGCAGGTATACTAAAATTGGAATGATACAGAGAAGATTAGCATGGCCCCTGCGCAAGGATATCATGCAAATTCATGAAGAGTTCCATATTTTTAGGCAAAGACTTCATGACTAAAACACCGAAAGCAATGGCAACCAAAGCCAAAATAGACAAATGGGATCTAATTAAACTTAACAACTTCTGTACAACAAAAGAAACAATCATTAGAGTAAACCAGCAACCAACGAAATGGGAGAAAATGTTTGCAATATACCCATCTAACAAAGGGCTAATACCCAGAATCTACAAAGAACTAAAACAAATCTACAAAAAAAAAACAACACCATCAACAAGTGGGTGAAGGATATGAACAGACAATTTTCAAAAGAAGACATTATGCAGCCAACAAACATGTGAAAAAATGCTCCTCATCACCGGTCATTAGAGAATTGCAAATCAAAACCACACTGAGATACCGTCTCATGCCCGTTAGAATGGCAATCATCAAAAAATCTGGAGACAACTGATGTTGGAGAGGATGTAGAAAAATAGAAACACTTTTACACTGTTGGTGGGAGTGTAAACTAGTGCAAACACTGTGGAAGACAGTCCTCAAGGATCTAGAAATAGGAATACCACTTGACCCAGCAATCCCATTACTGAGTATATACTCAAAGGATTATAAATTGTTCTATTATAAAGACAAATACACATGTATGTCCATAGTGGCACTGTTTACAATAGCAAAGACTTGGAACCAACCCAAATGCCCATCAAGGATAGGCTGGATAAAGAAAATGTGGCACATGTGCACCATGGAATACTATGCAGCCATAAAAAAGGATGAGTTCATATCCTTTGCAGGGACAAGGATGAATCTGGAAACCATCATTCTCAGCAAGCTGACACAAGAACAGAAAATCAAACACTGTGTTCTAACTCATCAGCGAGTGCTGAAGAATGAGAACACATGGACAGGTAGGGGAACATCACACACTGGGGCCTGTTGCAGGGTGGGAGAGCTAGGGAAGGAATAGCAGGGGATGGGGAGATTGGGGAGAGATAACATTAGGAGAAATACTTAATGTAGGTGACGGGGGTTGGAGGCAGCAAACCACCATGGCATGTGTATACCTATTTAACGATCCTGCAAGATCTGCACATGTACCCCAAAACTTAAAGTAAAATTTAAAAAAAATCATGTCAAGTATAATACCAAAACTTACTTTATAAGTAAATTGGTCCTATTTAAATGTATCTTTAATAGAAATGGGGAGCTAGAGAGAGAAAAATTGTGTTTCAGCAGAAAACTGCTGTATATCTTTTATTAGATTCCAGCCCTTACTATTGTTTTTGAGTTTTTATTATTTTCTTACAACTGGAACTAAATCCTAAATTATTTCCTGGCTACAATACATCTCTATAGGACTAGGTTTTAATTTTTTTAATGATGTTTTTAGTTGACTGCCAAATGGAAGCTTTTTTCTTTCTGTCATACAAATTCTTTTATTGATTAGAATTTTTCTGTGTATTATATGTCTGCCATGTACCTCTTGCTTTTTACTTCATCCAAGAAAACTAAACTCCTAGTATTCCAAAGACTAGAGATAATTCAACAAGTGAAAGCAGCCATATAAATTAGTAATTTTTCTGAGGTCTCAATTTGGCCACACTGTTAACACCATCCCATTTCAAATATTGATGCTCTTAAAATTTCTGACTGAGATATATTCTGCCTCTCCTACTCCCTCATCTTGAGACAGGACCATTCAGAAATTAGCTTTCCTAATGACGCAAAACTAAGTTCCTAAATATAAAAGGAGTCCAAATCATTTGAGTTCATCCAGTATGCTTTCTTTGAAAGATCTTGATAAAAAAAGAAGAAAGTGAAAAAGCAAAATATCATTTAGTGGTGGCTCATGCCCAGCTACTCAGGAGGCTGAGGCAGGAGAATTGCTGGAACCCAGGAAGGTGGAGGTTGCAGTGAGCTGTGATTGTACCACTGCACTCCAGCCTGGCAGAGCAAGACTCTGTATCAGAAAAAAAAAAAAAAAAAAAGTAATCACACACACAAAAAATATGTCAGAATGTCAGAGTAATCTGAGCGATCTGAGGTATGTAAAATTTATCAGGCCCAAAGACACCAGAGTATGGAACTTCAGTCACACCCTCTGCTCTCATGCCTAGGAAGCAAATCCTTAAAACTATCTTTTTACTTGACTAGCTGCCTCACCCATTATCTTCATATTTCTAGAATTTGTGATACAAATAAAAATGTATAGCCAATTGTTAGCTTATGTTATTTCCAGGAGCAATGCTTGAACCCAGGAGGTGGAGGTTGTAGCGAGCTGAGATCCCAACGCTGCACTCCAGCCTGGGCAACAGAGGGAGGCTTCATCTTAAAAAAAAAAAGTTTATTTTATTTTAATGAAAATTCTTGGTAAACAACTTAGGAACTGCCTCTTCTTTTTCCTTAAAATGCACTTATAACTGCTGCTAGTCAGAGTATATATTCACAGAAACTTGAATATATGCTGCTGAGGGGCTGTCCCTAAGGTTTGGGCTTGAATATGTGATATAGCTAGCCTAGAGTTAGAACTTGTACACTGCCATATTGTAAAAGACAAAACTGTTTCTATTCTCCTACAAGGACTGCTAACCTTGGTTTCTGTAAACTGCTAATTTACTTTGCAAAAAGGTAAAGCTGCATTCTTCCCCTTATCTGTAACTGCCAGAATTGCGGGACTTTGATCATTGGTGATGGCCAGAGTAAGCACCCCCAGAAAATTCCATCCTGGCGCCAAGCAACTAAAAAAAATCTGTGGAGCCCACACCTGCCCAAATAATGTATAAACTAATGTTTATCTTGACCTTTGTAAACCACTTAAGTGGCAATCAGAATGACAAAAGTCCCCTGGCCCTTGGAATGTCTGGAGCCCCCTCACCCTCGTTTCAGCCTAGGAGGTGATTGACAGCTTTCATCCCCATCTCCACTCTTCACCCCCACTCCCAAGGTTTTGCGGGTATAAAAAGGTCTTGTCTCTCTTCTTTCGGGGCCACGGGTTGGAGAGACATGAGTCCTCCGTGGTCGCCGGCAATAAACTCTGCAATTTGGCATACTTTTGTTCTGGTGTTGACTTTCTGTGCTCAGTTCAATGCAACAAATAAACTCTATACTTTGTCATATTTTGTATATTTCATTATTTAAGTTTGACAATACTTAGATCATTGGTTTAAAACTGTCTTATTTTGTCTTTTTGCTGCTTGAGTTTCATGTGGTTTACAGATCACAGATACTCAACAGGTACAGTAACTCAAAAACCTCACTATCTACAGTCAGGTTCTTCAAGTCTAACCTTATCTCCAGTTTCTGCCTTTTTTTTTTTTCCTGGATTTACTTGTATGTCCTGGCTGTTTTATAATAATAAACTTTTTAGATCTTTGTCTGAAATTCTGGGCAGGGGTATTCTAAAGTCCTTGCAATTTTCTGAGTGGTAAGAGTTTATTTTTTAAGTTAGTGAGGTGACTAATGATGTATCCATAAATAGCGACATGATGGGGGCTGATCACTGCAGGGAGCAACCATGTGGTGATAGGGCTGGTTTTTGACCCTTTTTCATCTCTGGGGAGGGGAAAGGAAATAGAGATTGAGTTCAATCACATAGCCAATAATATAATTAATCATGCCTACATAATCAAAACCCAATAAAATTTGAGACATAAAGTCTGAATGGAACTTCCTGGGTGGCGAACACATTCATGTGCTGAGAGAGGGATTCTACAAGAAGAGAGAATGGGAGTTCTCCATTTCCTTCCAGATCTCATTCTATGCATCTCTTCACTTGCTTGGTTCTTGTGATTGTGCACTTTATAACAAAACCGTAATTGTAAGTAGAACAGTTTTTCTGAGTTCTATAAGTCATTCTGGCAAATTAAACCTGAGAGAGTCATAAGAACCTACAAATTTATAGTTTTTCAGTTAGAAATGCAGTTGGCTTAGGAACCCTTGACGAGTGACTGGAATTTGAAACAGGGTAGCTTGGTTGGGAACTGCTTGCTTTAACTTGTGAGGTTGGCGCTAACTCCAAGTGATTAGTACCATAATTGAATTGTGACACACCCAGTTGGAGTTGAAACAGAATACATGCATTTGCTAGCTTTTTAGCCAAATACATTATTTATATTTTAGATTTCCTCCTTTCTATATCTCCCTCATTTTCAGAGTCCTTTCTTTAAGTTTCCAGCCATCCTACTGCTCTAAATCCTGCCATCTTCCCCATGATTCAATTTTTCACAGGGAGAGTTAGAGAGTGGTGATGGTGGGTCCCTGTGACTGTCATGAGAAAACAACAGTAAACCAACAGTTCTTGCAGAATCAAGAGCATTCTCTTCCTAATAATCTCCTCTTATTTGCCTCTCACTTTTTCTTGGGTCACTTTCCATTACCTTCAAATATTTGTTTTAACACTTTTGCCCAGTTTCTATAAGTGTTTTCTCTAGGAAGAATTGTCTAGGGTCTTCACACCACTTATTTACACCATCCGAAAAAGCAGGAACAATTTCCAGAAGCCTTGCTATTCTTATCCAATTTTTTCCTTTTCTATTTGCAAGCTACTTCTATGTTTTCCTATATTTAATTTTTCAAAAGACTAATAAATATTTATGATTTCTAAAAATGAATGCTAGAAAATAGGAATGGTGGACAGTTTGCAAAAGAGAAGGACATTCTATCCAAGGAGATTACTCACTAAGTTGCCCAAACTCTGTCATCTTTTATTGTACCTTCTAAATAATTAAACAATGGTCTCTCTCCTCTTATGTCTAGATATTAACTTAGAATCACTGTGTCTGGGAGAATAGTTCTCTCCAGTTTATCTGGCACAGAAGTGCATGAGACAAATATAAATTTACTTAAGCATTAACTTTTCCCCTCCTCATCAAAACTCTTCTTTTGGTAATTCTTTCAAACAAGTTTTTTCAACACCATGGAGAGCAGCAGATAATAAAATTACATACAGGAAACTATTTAATGTTCCTGCAGTGTAGGTTAGTGTCCTTATTCTTGTTATTCTTCTATTGTAGTTATACATTTACAGGCATGTTTTTCATTTTGT